CGCGCGACAGGTTCGACAGCGACATCTTGTTGGCCAACGCGTTCACTGGGCGCCCGTCGAGTAAGCCGTTGACAACGGCTCCGGGGCTGACCCGCGCCACCGAGTCGTCCATCAGAGCCCTCTCCAGGCTGTCGATGGACGAGTCGTCGCACCGATGATTGCGACCACCGCTAGAGCTACTGCTTCCGGCGCTGCTGTCCGGGTCGGAGCTGTGGGCGCCGTTACTGTCGGGCAAACTGTTCAAACTGTCCGACTCTTCGGCGCCCGAGTCCTGACGCGACGATGAGCTGAGGTGTAGCTCGTGGTCAGCCGTGGGAGTGCCCAATAGGCGCACAGTTTGCTCGCCAAACAGGTCCGGGCAGTGGTCGATGAGATATGCGATCAGTTTTGGCACTTGTTTTGACATTTCCTGTAAGAAGTGAAGCGAAGATATTGTTTATTAATAATTGAATTTCTGGTATGTATTTAAAGTGTAGATAACCTCAAGTCTATGGCCATTAATGCTATACCCCTTTACAATGAAGTATACTATACTTGTAATCTGTATTTAATTTAATTCATACACTAATAAGATATTAAAAATGAAAACTTTCTTTAACTGAATATTAAGTAAATATTATTCAAATCGCAAAAACCTCTTATCGGGAAATCTATTCATCAGATAATAAGCTTATTATAAGCATAAAAATCAAAAGTTTTGCGTCTAAACTAACGGCCGGGCCTTTGGATGGGCACCGGTATTATTAGGTGGGCGTCCCGTCTATTGTATGCATAGTCCTTATTATTATATTTGCCATTAAAATAACTCATTATATTTGCAGCAAAAAAAAGCAAAAATCAGATAAATATTAAATTAGTTTCGAGACCAAAGAATACAATCAACGCTCGCTTTTCATAAGCATAAGAAAAACAGCAAACAATTTATGTGATGGTAAAAATTCACGATCACTTACTTCACAGGTCTGAGAGTTGGGCGGATGGACACCGGTCTGGGCGAAGGGGGCGGGCGTGAGTAGACTCTGGCCCACGCATACGCCCAGATTGACCGGACACATCTTGTTGAGCGGCGACTGTTGGGCGATAGACCAGAGGGCGCACAGCGTGTGCCTCAATAGCAACATATTGCTGGCCGGCAGACACTGCAACAGCCGCTGCACCCGTTCGCGGCACTCGTGATTGTTGGCCACACCAATCGAGTCAATCCATTGCGGGTACAGACGGGACTGGAGTAGACAGTCGGGTAGGGATCGCAGGAATTCCTGTTTATATTAGCGGGAAAAATCGGGAATTAGTTAATTACATGATATGTAACAATTATGGTCAATTAACACACGTAACCCAAAAAGGGTTGGTACAATCACACATACCTTGAACACGGATGCGATGACCATAACGGGCACTTCGGTAATGTCCGGCTCGTCGCCCGACTCTAGTTTGGCCCGGAATTCCTTACAGACCCGAGCGTTGGCCGATTTGCGAAATNAGAGAGAATATTCTGATAATTCATTAGTTATAAAATACAATAATAATTATAATATTCTTATAATAACTTAAATTTGATATAAAAAATCATTTATAAATTTGTTTTCATTCATTAAATATAATACATATATAAAGGGAACACATATTTCGGGCAAAGAGTAATCAAAAATTACAATTAAATGCATCAAAAAAATCATAAATGAATTTAAAATAAAATGCAATCGAAAATTGAAAAAAATGTAAAATTCATTTCATAATTAAAAAACACTGCAATTAATACACAATAATATAAAACTTTTTTTTTGGTCTATTTATTACACATAAGACTCCTCTTCGGAAGAGCTGTTGCCCACGGAGTCGGCCCTCTTGTGGCCGAGAGTGTGGCCATCGTTAGCACCGGCGGTGTTGTGTCTCACTTGCACTACAGTCACACCTTTGGACACTTGACTGTCCTTATAGTTTGTGTTATAATTATTATCATAATTAGTGATCTCTTGAATACTGATGGGTCGCTGTTTGGTCTGACCGGCGGTCGTGTGTTTGGCCTGACTCTCGATGAGCACCGACACGGGCCGAGACGTCTGGCGGACGTATATGTTGTACGTGTTGTTGTCGACCACAACCGACGCCGGGCTCTGCGACGACGGGGTGGACGACTGGGACGACGAGGACGTGTTGCCGGTGCTGTTGTTACCACCGCTGGTGGCTTTGGTGAACAGTTTGCGAAGTGTGGCCACTTTGCAGCCGCCGTTGATATCCTTTCGCCACTCTTCGGGCGTAAAGTCTTTGGCACTTCTCTGGAGAACGTGCGGCTGCGATGAGGCCGACAGGGATGTGCTGTTGTGACGGTTCACCTGATTATTAGTATTATTATTTTGTTGAGCAGTTATGTGGACAATGTTTCGGGCGTTGCTATTGTTGGCCACGGATTCGCTGACCACTCGATGCACGTGTCGGTGCTGTTGAGGCAGTGTCTGAGCGGTGGTGACGGCGGACGAGCCCACGGGCGCCGACAGGCGGTGTTGCAACAGCTGCTCGCTATTAGTAGCGCTGTTGGCGCCGATGCCATCGCCGGACACCCTGACGGGTACGGCTCTAGCCGTTACCGTCCGCTTGTTGTCGAGGTCTGAGTTATAAATACGGACCGACTCTTCGTAAATGTGCGCTGAGTTGGCCGACGAAGTGGACGCCGACGACGCCTTTCTCATGGCGATAGCGCCGGACGTATTGCCTGTGGCGGTGGTGTTGAGGGCGCCGTTACTCTGCGCCCGACAGAGCATCTCTTTGCGAGTCATGGCCTCGTGATAACTGGGCGGACACGCGGCCACTCCCGCCGAGCCGTTACGGACGGACGAGTTTGTCGACGACTGTTTGCCGGACGATAGGGACGAGCGCTGGGACGCCGTCTCCGATGAGCTGCCGTTACTGCAGATACTGGTCACCCGATTGGGTGCCGACAGATTGACGGCCGATTGGACGCGCGGTCCGATAGCATTGGTGGCACCGGTGGTGACGTTGTTATTGCCGTTATAGTGATGAACATCGGCCCGAAGTGTCACCTGATTGGCGCCGGTATTGTGGCCGCCGTTGTATTGATTATTATTATTGCTGTAATACTTGCTCTGCTGTTGACTGCCGTATGACTGGCGGCCGGGCGTCGCGTACTGTAAGGCCAGCGAATAGCCATTGGTCTCGCCATCGGTGGTGTCATAACCGGTACGGATCAGACTCTCCTCGGAAGAGCTGCGGCGAAGATAGGGGGCCGACACGTGATGCTCGTGATAGCCGTTATGGACGGGCGCCCCGCCGAGCACTGCGGCCAACGGTGGCCTCCGGTATCGATACTCCCGATGACAGTCATCGGCGGAACCGTTGTTGATGTCCATCGACTGGTGATCGTCGGCAGAGGAGGAGCCGAGTTGAAGGTCGTCGCCGTTAATGCCATAACTGTATGACTTGGAGTAGTGGATGGGTATGTGTTGGTGCGGGTGCTGATGATGGGGACCGGTGTAGTGGTGGTGATAGCCGTTGCTGTGATACTGATGATAGAGATGGTGATGATGTCCGGCGCCGTTGAGCGCCGACGACGAGGGCTGCGACGACTGTCGGTAATAGTTATTGTTATTGTTGTGATTATGTCTTTGATTGGCGTTTGTCTGGTGATGATTGTGATAGGTTTGGGCCGAAGACTGGCCGTTAAGTTGGCTGCCGGTGCTGTTGCGGGCGTTGCGCGCGATATAATCACCGGCTGTGGAGTAGTGGCCGGTATTGCCGGCGCTGTGGACGCCCTGAAGGTGACGGCGCTTTCGCATCACCACATCATGACAGGAGCCGTCGATACTGACGCCATGCGATCGGCCGTAACTGAACGTCACGTTTAGGTCGGAGTCGAGACCGGTTTGATCCAAATGGGGCACAGACTTCGTCAGGTATGGCGGATGATATGCCAACGGACTGGACGTCTTGCGGTGATACGACTGGCCATTGGCTGCGCCGCCGATCGTAGGGAACTGATCCAAATCGTCGCCGCACTCTTCGTCTTCGTCCGGTGTATACAATTGGGTGTCCGATAGGGTTAGGCCGGAGTCGCGCGACAGGTTCGACAGCGACATCTTGTTGGCCAACGCGTTCACTGGGCGCCCGTCGAGTAAGCCGTTGACAACGGCTCCGGGGCTGACCCGCGCCACCGAGTCGTCCATCAGAGCCCTCTCCAGACTGTCGATGGACGAGTCGTCGCACCGATGATTGCGTCCACCGCTAGAGCTACTGCTTCCGGCGCTGCTGTCCGGGTCGGAGCTGTGGGCGCCGTTACTGTCGGGCAAACTGTTCAAACTGTCCGACTCTTCGGCGCCCGAGTCCTGACGTGACGATGAGCTGAGGTGTAGCTCGTGGTCAGCCGTGGGAGTGCCCAATAGGCGCACAGTTTGCTCGCCAAACAGGTCCGGGCAGTGGTCGATGAGATATGCGATTAGTTTTGGCACTTGTTTTGACATTTCCTGTAAGAAGTGAAGAGAAGATATTGTTTATTAATATTAATTGAATTTCTGGTATGTATTTAAAGTGTAGATAACCTCAAGTCTATGGCCATTAATGCTATACCCCTTTACAATGAAGTACACTATACTTGTAATCTGTATTTAATTTAATTCATACACTAATAAGATGTTAAAAATGAAAACTTTCTTTAACTGAATATTAAGTAAATATTATTCAAATCGCGAAAACCTCTTATCGGGAAATCTATTCATCAGATAATAAGCTTATTATAAGCATAAAAATCAAAAGTTTTGCGTCTAAACTAACGGCCGGGCCTTTGCATCGGCACCGGTATTATTAGGTGGGCGTCCCGTCTATTGTATGCATAATCCTTATTATTATAATTGCCATTAAAATCAACGCAAAAAATAACTCATTATATTTGCAGCAAAAAAATCAAAGCAAAAATCAGATAAATATTAAATTAGTTTCGAGACCACAGAATACAATCAACTCTCGCTTTTCATAAGCATAAAAAACAGCAAATAATTTATATAATGGTAAAAATAACGATAACTTACTTCACAGGTCTGAGAGTTGGGCGGATGGACACCGGTCTGGGCGAAGGGGGCGGGCGTGAGTAGACTCTGGCCCACGCATACGCCCAGATTGACCGGACACATCTTGTTGAGCGGCGATTGTTGGGCGATAGACCAGAGGGCGCACAGCGTGTGCCTCAATAGCAACATATTGCTGGCCGGCAGACACTGCAACAGCCGCTGCACCCGTTCCCGGCACTCGTGATTGTTGGCCACACCGATCGAGTCGATCCACTGGGGGTACAGACGGGACTGGAGTAGACAGTCGGGTAGGGATCGCAGGAATTCCTGTTTATATTACGGGCAAAAATCGGCAATTAGTTAAATACATGATATGTAAAACGTTATGGTCAATTAAGGGTTGGTATAATCACACATACCTTGAACACGGATGCGATGACCATAACGGGCACTTCGGTAATGTCCGGCTCGTCGCCCGACTCTAGTTTGGCCCGGAATTCCTTACAGACCCGAGCGTTGGCCGATTTGCGAAATATCCCGACAGTGAACGGACCCTTTTGGAACAGCTCGTTGAGCATAAGCTACAGGTGCCACACAAAAAAAACAATTAATAAACATGGTAACAAAACATTTCACACAATTCAAACCACTAACCATAATAGGCTTTGGCAGCTGTTCCCCATTGCACAGTAGGTCCAAGTGTTGGCCAAACAATTTGCCCGGTTTGGTGGGCGTGGAGGGCTCGCTCGTAGATATACCACTATCGAGGGAGACATCGCCTCCGCCGCCGCTAGTCTTAATACTGATCTTCTTGAATGGCCGCCAATTGATTGGTCGCCTCTTATTCTTCGACTTCTTGGCGCTATTGTCGAGTAGAGCGCCGGTAGAGTTCTTGGGATACGATCGCCTCAATATGAATATACACTTGTTGTCAGCGGCGATGTTGTTAAAGTTCTGGAGGTCCAGATTGGATCGGTGGAGCAGATCCCGCACGAAGTTCATCTTAATGGCAAACGGGTACTCGTGTCCGATCAGCGGATAGGGTGTGTCATCGCGTGATGTCTTCACCCAGAGTTGGTAGTCGTCGACCGGACCGTCGCATTTGAACTCATCGATCGCCGACTGTATGGCGTCGGTTGTGGTGCACCGGTTGGTCACCTTCACGAGTGTGTACTTGTCCTCATTGGCCACCGGATCCCAGTATGATATCTGTATTGTTGTATTACTTTTGCCCTCTTTCTCCTTGATTTGGTTAATAGATCTGCGGATGAATTGTTTCAATGATAATAATTGTGTTAATTAATTGTCATAGAGTTTTGTTTGTGTTGTTTTCATTCAAGCATTTAATTAATGAAATATTTGTGATTAATTAAATGTTTTAATTAGTAAAATATTTGTGACTAATTAAATGTTTTAATTAGCAATTTATTATTAATATTGTCTATTCATACGGTTTTTTGAATGAATAAATTATTTTTACAAATAATAATTAAATATTAAATTAAAATAAATTATTGGCATAAAAAATATGTTACAAAAACCTGGAGTAAAATCTATCGCAAGAAAACATTTATTTTTAGTTGTTTTTCTCGTTATTATAGATCGCAAACCGAAAGGCGAAAAATCATTTGTTAAAAATAAACAGAAAAATAACTAAATTTAATTAATATTTAAATGCAGTAATAAATCACTGGTTTTT